AAAAATGGCAGCAGCAGAATGCCAGCCGCAGCAGCAAAGAGAGCCTGATCGAAATCTCCCGCCACCGTACGTAGCGCAACCAGGGTTGCCTCGGCAACAATATCTAGCACCACCACAGCAGCAGGAGCAGCAGAGAAATCAAAAATGGCAGCAGCAAGAATGCCAGCCGCAGCAGCAAAGAGAGCCGAATGGAACTTTTCAACATCCGTACGCAGATCGACCGGGGTCAGTTCAGCACAAAAATGGGCCACCGTCGCAGCAGCGCGGAGTTGTAGCGCAGGGAAATGAGAATTCTAAGTTTCACCTGCAGCGGAACCCCAGACAAGATTCAATTGGGAAAAGGCAGGAGCCCATAAATATAGCCGATGTGGCTCAAATCTTTGGGTCTAATGAAGCCAGTGTGAAAATTACTGTTGGAGTGCATGCTGCGGAGAAGGCAGTTAACTTATTTCCGTCGCCTGATCCAGAGGTTCTGCAACAATTCAAAAGCCTCTACGCCCTTCAGCCCGAGCATGACGAAGGGACGGATCCCCTTCGGGCACAAGGGGGCACCGAATTCGGCGCTGTAGGGACCCTTGAAGTCGATAAGTGCAGCCGGATGATTGAGGATCACGACGTCACAATTGTTGTGACCGACACAGGCACAGGCAAAAGCACTCTTATCCCAAAGGCCATCCTCGATGACCACCCGGAGGCAAAGGTGGCAAACGCGCAACCGAGGCGTACACCGGCCATTAAGCTGGCCCAGCGCGTCTCCCACCTCTACGGTGAGAAGGTTGGCGGCAAGGTGGGTTACTTGGTACGCGGGGAGCACGTGGGAAGGTTGGGTGAAACCCCGATTATGTACGTGACAAATTACACCCTTTTTCTGCACTTGCTTCACACTCCTCCTGATGAAATCAACATCACACACTTTATCTTTGATGAATTCCATGAGCGTACCACGGAGGTGGAGGTGCTGCTGCTTCTTGTAAAGCTTCTGATGCTAAGTCAGCCAGGCAAATTAAGGCTTGTGCTTTGCAGCGCCACTGCAGAGGTATCTGAGTGGAGGTACTTTTTTGAGAATTTGAAAGTCGCTGTATACTCCAAGGCGAATGCCATGTACCCCATCCATGACTATTACTTGGAGGATGTGAGTAAACTTATTGGCGTGAAATTTGTTGAACCAGCTGTTTCTCCCACGGGAGTTGTGCACTCCGTTCAGTTTCATACCATTCGATTGTTGCTGGAGAGGGTCTTAAAATTCCTGGCAGACACAGCCGCCCCAGGGCACAGCATTCTTGTTTTTGTGCCAGGCCGCTCAGTGGTGGAGCAGCTGTCGTTGTGGATCCGGGAGAATCTGGGCGAGCAGCTCGACCCTATTCCATGGTACCGCGACATTGAGCTTGCGGTTATCCAGGAGGCGCTTCAGCGGAAGTCGGCGACGAAGAAGAAGGTGTACGTCGCCACAGACATCGCGGAGGTGTCCATCACGTTGCCAGATGTCGTATTTATCATCGACTCCGGCACAGGCAAGCGCCCCCGCATTATTGAGACGGACCCCAACTCCGTGGCCTTCCCACCGCTGGAACTTCTCTGGGAAGGTTCTGTAAACATGCTGCAGCGTCGTGGTCGTGTCGGGCGTGTGCAGCCGGGATTCTTCTTTACCTTGCTGTCCCGAAAACAGGCGCAGCAGTTGCCTCCGAATGGGTCCCGCTTAGGAAGTTCCGTCTTGCATGGAATTCTGCTTCACTGCATTCACCTGTCGCCGTTGCCATTTCAAATGTTTTTGCTGTGCCATGAAAAACCTCGGAAGGTGAGTGTGGAGTGGAGTCTGTCAACGTTGTGCGACGGTGGCTACATTGTGCCACAGGGGGATCACGTCTCACTGATTGAGACGATCGATGAGACCATACACCACGGTGTGAGGGAGGCATGGAGTAAGGTTATTGCGAATGCTTATGCGGCTCGAACGGCGGGCAGTGATGCGTCGGGAAACCCGCTGGCGCAGCGTCGTTTTAACTTGTCGCTGCGTGGGTTGATTGTTGGTGCACTTCCCTTTGGTGTGGAGCCAGGCACCATTGTGTTCAACGGGGTCATCATGGGCCTCACGACACTCTCCATCATTGCTGCGGCCTGCGCGTCGTGCGGGACGCCCTTCTACGTGCCGTACGATGGTATGGATAAATCCCGGCGGCTGGGGCTGCTGCGTAGGGCGGAGGAATTCATGAGGAAGTGCAAAGGGGAATACTACAATGACGCACTGTCTGCGGTCGACGTCGTCATTGCGTACATGGCGATGCAGCGCGAGGGTGTGTCGGAGGAGGGCCAGCTCGCATGGTGCGAGGAGCGGTACTTGAGTCGGGCTCGCATTGTGGATATTCTTCTTGTGGTGACACAAACCAAGGAGCAACTCGCCTCCGTCGTCCCCTTCGAAGATGTCACGGATGTTGATGAGCTCGTAGAGCAGCTTAACCAAAATGCGTTAACTCTTTCCCTTATTTGTTCAGCGGCCTACATGAACCAAGGCGTGTATGTACTCCATGATCCGCAGCTTGCGCAGAAGAAGAGATTTGCCGGGAGCGGCATATTTGTGAACATCAACTGCGGGAGAGACCGCTCCGTACCGACGAACTGTCCATGGGAACGCGACACGGTCTGCATCCCTTTTATTGTGCATACCATTTACGGGCGACTGTCGGGGTCGTTCTCCTCGCAGCTAAAGCCTGAGGTGTACAACATCATGCTGCTGTTGCTGAGCAGTCGCTTTGTCTATGAGGAAATTCACGAAGACACGGAGTGCGTCACCTTTGAGGTGGCGCAAAGCGGCAGCCGTGTGTACATCGTCTGTGACAGGATAACCGCATTCCAGCTGCTGCAGCTTCGGCGATTGATGTGTGCCCGGCTCTGCGTGCTGCACTTTCTTATACAGCACGAAGCAGAAGCCGGCGACAACGACGCGATTGCCGCGCACTTGCGGAACACCGGGAGTGACTTTGGCATCCCGCCGGGCATGGAGCAGCACCCGCATCTCATCTCTGCCATGATCACCTCTTCCCTGACGAAGGTGATTGAACGCATTGAGGCGGCGATTCCCCCGAAGGGCGGTGCGAACGCGCCCAGCGTTTCCGCAACTTCGCAGCCCTTTTGTAAGGTGACGGGGCGCCCGGAGCCATTCCACCCCACGCGGCAGTCAGCGCTTTTGTTTTCGAGCAACGGCTGTGCTCCGTTGGCGCGCCCAGAAGGTGCAGTGATGCCAGTTTACCGTGACCCGTATGCAAACCAAACCGCGTAGTATTTAAGGAAACGCAATAAGTAAACTCTGCGTGGTTTTTTTTTCTTGTCTGCATCTGTGCGTTGCTGGGATTGGGGCTGTTTTTTTTTTTTGCTCTTTCTTCTGTCCTTCCTTCCAACGATGCGGAGCGGGAAGCGTGAGCCCTTGCTACTTCTTGTTCCTTTCCAAACAATTCCCATTGTTGTAGTTCCACATTGCGATTCGCCGCGGGGGAAAGAAGAAGGAAGTGAAACGGAATGGGGGCGGAGAGTTATATCGATACCTACAAATCCACATATATAAATCTACGTATATAACTATAACTGTATACGCACACACACACACACACATATATATATATATATATATATATATATATTAGAAGTAGGGATGACGGCGCGGTGAGGAAGAGGACGATGTATTCCTCCCTCTGTGTGTGTGTGTGAAAGAGAAAGAGAAAGAGAAAAAAGAGAGGGCGCTTGTTTATGTGTCCCATTCATTCTCTAATAGTTTTTTTTTTACTTCTTGCTTTGTGTTTTTGTGCATTTTAACGGCGCCATTTCCAGCGCACGTCTGTGTGAGTGTGTTTGTGCTTCTGTTTCTCTTTCCTCGCTTCTTTCGTTGGGGCTGTAGTCCCTTAGGGCTGCGTTGGGCGGAAAAGGCGGGCGGCGGGCGGGTGGGATGTCGTCTGGCGCCAGCGGCGGCGGCGGCGGCTTCGGCACTCCCACACGGCTGGGCGTCCAGTACTCCTCCGAGGAGGAGCGCAGCATCTACGAGAAGGTGGCCACCGTCCGCGGCTACGCCTTCGAGGTGCCGCCGGTGAACCGCTTCCACAGCAAAACCGCGGAGTCCAAGTTTGTGCAGCTCACCGGCTCCATTAATCCGAAGTTCGACGCGGAGCGCTTCGACAACCTCCGCGAGCGTCTGCAGCAGGCGGACAAAAAGGGAAAAGACAGCTACCTGCAGGCCATCGCCGTGCTCTACGCCGAGTTTCTTGGAAACAATTTCTTGAGAGCCACGGACGTGGACCTCGCGGAGCTGGAGCGCTGCTTCTATCCCTCGCACCTCCCCACCTACGCCGCGGCGCTGCGCACCGTCGGGCTCAAGAAGCCGCTGTGGTGGAGGCAAGGCCCTTTTGTGCGCCTGGAGGACATCTCACGCCTGCCGCTTTCGCAGTGCGACATCAACAAGCAAACCTCCATGACCTTCGAGGAGTGGTATTGTCTGTTCTGGAACTACTACACACCCTTTAACACCCTGGCGTACCTCTTGATGGTGACGGCGCAGTCGATGCTGCCCACACGGGAGTTGGTTGATAGCACCGCGGACTACATTGCCCACCGTCACTCACTCCTGGAAGACCCGAAGGCAAAGAAGGCCCCCATTCTGTTTCTTGGCTCCCGCACAGGGAAGTTGGGTGGCCTCCTCAACCAAACAGGAAAGATTCCTGTGCCTATCATTCATGTGCATGAAAAACCCAACATGAATCCGTATCTTCTTGTTATACCACCCAATAAACAAGATGCATTTAAACCACATCCCATCATTAAAATGAAGGCTCAAGCTGCGCTAGAAAAGTATGAGCCTGCCATTGTTTTGATGTCCGACATGAGCATGAACACCGATCCCACCGCCATGATTCGACGGATAGGGTCTGTGCGGGAGTACGTATATTTTGGTACACCCAACAGTTATATCGAGGGCCATCCGTGGGAGACGTGGGGAAATGCGAGATACCGTGAGAAGGGAACGGATCACGTTCCACCCTTCCTGCGAGAGAATTGGATGAAGCTTTCCCTGCCGCACCTCTCACGCTGGATGATTTACAAGACAGACAGCGAAATGCAAATGGGCAACGGTGCAGTCACGACGTGGATGCGGCGCCCGTTGAAGCCTTCTGCCAAGACCATTTTCAGTTGGCGTCTCGCACGATTTAAGCCCTTCTACTGACAATCGAATGTGATGCGGGCGTGGAGGTAGTTAAGACGGAGCGAAGCCCACGATATATATATATACATATATATTGTAGCTGCTGTTCGTTCACATAAACATCACTTTCTTTTCTTTTTTATACCCCGTTGTATCTAGCTGTGTTGGTGCTGTTGTTGTTCCGCGTCTTCGGTGAAATGCAACCTCAGGGGCCGCGGCAGAGGAGGCATTCTTCGCATGCTTTGCTGCTACCTTTTCTGAGCTCTTTTTTTTTAAATTGTTAGTTGCTCCCCCTCTACCTCTTTATTTCTTTCTCTCCGTTTTTTTTTGTTTCGCCCCCTCTCCCCACTGCTTCGGTGTTGCTGTGCGTGGATGTTGCTCTTTGCTTGTCGTGCGCGCCAGCTCGCAGGCCGTCCTTGACGATTGGTCGGGCTGGCAACTGGGGTGCGGCGGCCGGAGGGTGCAGGTGACGCCCGGCGTGCCCCTTTTCCGTGCTGCCGGCGATGAGCCGCTTGCGGCGGGAGGATGAGCACAAGCTGCGGGAGCTCACGGAGCTCGCCGCGGCGGTGGGCCGGCAGAACCTCCCCGAGGACGACCAGCTGGTCATGCTGTACCTCGAGGACCGCTACAACAAATTCCTGGAGGAGGGACTGCGGAAGCTCCGCGGGGAGCGCCACGGCGGCGGCAGCGGCGGCGGTGCAACGGGCCTCAGCAGTCTCTTTCGAATCAGGACCGTGAAAAGCCCTTCGCGTCGGGCGCACTCTGCGCAGCCGCCGAGCTCGGCGACGAACCCCCACAGCGCAGAAGGTTCTGCAGCCGCAACGGTAAGGACGCCAAGCGGGTGTTCCGAGGCGTCACCACCGCGGCCGCTTGCGGGCAAGCTGTGGACGTGGGTGTTGGACGACCTTGTGGTGGGAGGCGTGCCGCATGCCGACGCTAGAGAAGACGGAGCGGGTCACATGCTGGAGCTCTGGCGGCAGTGCCTGGCCCGCGGTGGCAGCATGCTTGCAGTGGTCTCTTGTCTGGAGGTGGGGGAATCGATTCCACCTGGCTTCGCCACGTTGCAGGACTGGGAGCGTTTCCCCGGCGTGGTGGACTACTACTCTGTCCCGTTCATTGCCCCGGAGAAGCAGGGGAATCCGCCGGTGGTGAGGAGTGCCGTGCTTGAGGTGTTATTCACCATATGCAAAAGCATTCACAGCGCGCAGCCGTTTATGGATGCCGGACAAGCGGACAAGCAAAAGAAGTTGCTGGACTCCACAGGCTTCTGCTCACTGCTTCGGTTTGGGGGTCGAAAGCAGCGGGCGCTCCTAAAATTCAATCATCAGCCCATTCTGTATATAATGTGCAAAACAGGACTGACACGGGCGTGGGTGTTCGCCATGGCGTATCTTATGAGCCAATACGGCATCGACTACCCGGAGGCGGACCGGCTGCTCTGTCAGTTGCGGCCCTTCCAGCCCAGCCCCGCGCAGGTGGAGATGGCGTTAAAGTTCTCAACCTGCATGTTCAAGTCTCGCTCCGCTGAGGGCCGTAGTGAGGAGCGTACATACCCCAAACTACTGGCGCAAGTACTATCGCTATCGCCTTCCTACCGAAGTCGACTTTTGTCTGACCTGGAGCGGCTGACATAGTGGGCCTTGCTTAGGTGGACAGGGAAAAAGAAAAGAAAAAAAACATAGCAGAAAGGGCAAAAGAATTCATTGAGTGACACGGACGCGGTCTTCCACGTCCCCTAAGAAGGGGCTCGGCAGTGGTAGGGACACCGTTTGGAGTTAGTAGCTCACTCTTTTTTCTGTTTTTTTTTCCGCATTGTTTTGCTCATCCTGCGAAATTGCGGGTTGCAAGCATGCTTGGACGGGCTCTTCGTTGGGACCGGTTCACTTCTTGCCGCCTTCCCCCTCTTTTTTTTTCCTTGTTTTTGTTTTTGTTTTTGTTTTTGCGGTGTTTCTCCGCCCGTCCGCCAATGCGGGGAGAAGAGGCATGGGAGGGGGAAAGGCGGACGTGGCGCCGGTTCCCCCGCCTCTGCGTGGGATGATGCTCTTCGTCACACAGACCCTGGCTGAGGCGTTGGCCCTCGCGTCCGGCGCCCGTGACGCGTCTGTCAGCGGAGCGCGAGGGGCGCAGCGACAGGCAAGACCTCCGCCGTTGTGCCCGTCCGAGGAGCGCCTCTTCAAGGCCTTTCAACACGAGTTTGCCTCGTGCCAAGGAAAGCCACACCACAGCCTCTTGCGCCCCCCGCCCCAGGGCCACTCTGGGGCGGCCCCCGCCGTCTGCTTGCAGCGACAGTCCAACGCCTCTGCCTTGGAGCGCGGGTGCTACCTTCTTGACCTGGATCACGTTTACACGGCGCCCGCCACGCTCTTCACTGAGGCCCATCAATGGTGGAAGGACAACACGCGAGAATTGCGAATGCGGAAAAAAACATCCATTTTAAGGCGTCCTGTGCTTCTTATGATTGTGCTGTCTCCTCCAGAGACGGCAGCGCCGAGGGAGCCAGGGAATATGTTTCCGTCTCTTGTCCTTGCATCGGCAGACACCGTGAAGGGAGGCGAAGAGGAACTTCTGGCTCGGGTGTGTGGATTCCCACCAGACGCTACATTTGGTGTGTCGTTGTCGCGGCTGCGAGAACTCGCATCTGATGATACTACGAAATCATTGGCTACAGAGGGGAGGGAATGGAATTGGCTTATCACACATCACCAGTCACGGGGTGTTTCATGTGATTGGTGCAACGCCACACTCATTTCGAGTGATTTTCTTACGCACTCCATCTTTTTCTTGGAGTGGTGCGTCCCAGAGGATTTTGCCTGGTCGCCTGGGCCGACACCGGCGGAGGGCTGGGGATCTGATGTGCTGGGCAAACTGTTGCGTGGTATCAGCGAGCAATTGTTTCCTGCCGGCGGTGCGGACAGTGGTGAGCTCCCGTCAAAGCGTCACCGCGCAGAGAATAACGAGGCCTTTCTGGACCTGGTTCCCACCGCAAGGCTTGAGATTGGTTCCTCCACGCAACTGCTTGAAGAGGCAAAGCGGGAGGTTGACGTGCGCTTCGTAGAGGCCAGCCGCGGTGCCGTGTCCCTGCCGCCTCACGAGCGCGTCGTAAGGAACCTCTTGGGGCAACTCAACATGATAGAGGAGGTTTACTTTTCTTCTTCTCCTCCTGTATGCGGCGTGTCTGTTGTGAAAGCAGCGGACGCGGATCCCCCGCCTTTACCCGCCGCCCCAACGGGGAGGGTTGCACAACTGTTGAGGCGCTGGGAGGAGATGCACGGGGGTCGCGGTGGGCGCCCGCTTTCGTCTCCCGACCTGTTGCGCCATCAGGCCCGGAGTGGCGGGCCAGCGGTTGGGGTTTCCAGGGAAGATGCGGGGACGCCGTTTCTCGAGCTGCTGCAGAAAAGATGCATGTCGGGTGGGCCGCAGAGCTCGGCTCCTTTCCTGCTCACTTGGGACGGGGAGCGGCTGCTGGAGGCACCGCGCGTGGCCGAAACGACACTTCGCGAACCACCCGAAGGCATGGTGGAATTGGCAGACGTGGCTGAGTTGTTGGCGACTCTCAATGCATCGTCGGCAGAGCATCTCTCGCGCGTGACGGCCGGTGAGTGTGGTCTGGGATGCCAACTTCCTCGCGGGCCGCTTAAAGACATTTTGGAGGACTCTGTTGCCGCATATATCTCCTCTGCCGCTGTCACTGCACCGTCAGTGGTTGGGGATGTGGCATGCGCCCATGACGTCGCTGAACCTTCACGCGAGCGAGACGACGGCCGCCTCTCACCTCCTCCGACGGCCCTGTTGGAAGCTCTGGGTGATGTGGTTCTTAACTTTGCCTACGGCGTTGGCGGGGGGGCGGATGCCCACGACAGTCCTATTCACGATGCTCTGCGTGATATGCTGGCCCACGTGAGCCACATCGCGCCAAATGCACCTGCGAGTGCGGGGAGCGGTCGTCCCTCCAGTCCCATCAGGGGGTCCGGTGAAAGCAACACGGCCGTCCATGCTGCGTGTCTCGCACCCACTGCCGCGCTTCGAGGAATGGGTGCGGCACAAACGGCGGTGAAGCACGCGGCTGCTGGCTTAACTGAAGTGGACGCGAAAAGCCGTGGGGTGCGGTGGCTCAGACACCTTGCTTTTCTTTTTGCGCACGCCGCGGCGCCTGCGGCTGCAACGGGTCCCATCCCTTTGCCTGCGCCAAAGGAACTTCCGTCAATAGAAGTGGAGCAGGCCCGGCGTGTCGTACGAGGGCTTGAGGCACATTTGTTTTTTCTGGATGCTGCCTTGTGTGCCGTTGATGGGGCGATTGCGAGGCGCTGGGAAGACGTCCATGAGGCCTTGGAAAAAGGAAGCACCTGAAATGGAGGCAGCGGCGGCCTTCCTTCTGCTTTTATGCTTTTTTATTATTATTGTTGTTTTTGTTGTTTTGGCTTTCTTTGGGTTTGCCACATACAGAGAGGAGGAGAGGGAAGCGACGTATGACGTGGTGATTGCTGTTTGCCGTTCTTCTTGACGGGGGGTTACGAATACAAGGAAGAGGGAATAATGGGTGCTGGGTTTGGTGTTTTTTTTTATTTCCTTGTTTGTGGTGGCATGAAACCTTTGGGTAATATATATATATATATTTACTTATATGTGCCTTCGCGCGAACAGAGCTGCAAAGGCCACCGCCAATGCTGCCATGCCGAGGTGCTGGGAGGGGGTGCACGGCTGCGGGTGGGCCTTGCCTGACTTTGTTCGCTCCTGCGTCAATGCCGCTCTTGTTCTTTGATGTTATTTCTCTGTTGTGCAGTGTCGAGGGAGTGGGGCGGCGATGCAACGGTTGCCTGCCGTCGGTTGTGGCGGGCGCCTGCCGCGGCTGTTTTTTTGTTGCCCCCAACTGTCGGCGCGCGCCCTCTTCTCCTCGGTGCCGAGCAAACCGGGGCATTCCGACGAGGACGCGCTCGGCGCAGCGGACCCGTTTAAGGCCGTTGGGGACGCGCTGCAGAAGAAGCAGGCGACGAAGGCTCAGGCGCCGCCGGACGACATCGATCCGGTTGCGTCCGCGTTGAACCGGCGTAGAAATCGCCGCAAAAGAACCGTCGACTCCATCTTTGGCGACGTGCTGCACGATGCACTGAAGCTGCGTGACATGGGCCACAAACCGGACGCCGACTTTGTCTACAAGCGGACGCAGGAGCGCATGTACGAGGAGGAGTATGGCCATAAGCCGCCCAGCGCGAAGGACCACGCGGCGAAGTACGTTCCGTTCCCACCCGACTTGGCGCTCAACCGCCTGGTCCCGCTGGAGGCGATCGTTGGGGAGGACCCCTGGCCGGCACGCGCCATCACGGCGCAGAATCCCGTCTGGACGCGGCAGCGGGTGGAGGAAGACCGGGTGAAGAACGGAGGTGCTCAGCTGCGGGCATGGGAGGCGAAGATGTTCGCCCCCCGGGAGGGTTTTGACCCGTGCGGGGAATTCGTGGACGCCATGGAGGAGCTGGCGTACTGGGAGGAGCGCTTCGTAAAGTTTATCCGCGAAGTGCCGCTGCCGCAGCGCCGGACGCTGCCACTCCTGCATGAGGCGTATCGCTACATCACCCACCGGCTGGTGAGGGCGGAGCGGCGCTACCTTGGGACGCGGGACGCGGCGCTGCGAAAGGCCCGCGCCTCGCCGTCGGTGTACAAAATGACGGAAAGCAGCATTGACCGCATCCGGGGCCTCTACTCGGAGACCCACCGCTCCCTCTCGAGCCCCAATTACGACCCCGTCCGCATGAAGAAATCGTTGACGGGTCCTCTGCTGCAAATGAGTGAGGCCGAATTTGAGGAGTGGAGAAATGTGCGAAAACACCAAAGGAATCGGCTTGTGGCGGAAATTGTGTGAACACACATTTGTTCTTCTTTTTATTGTTGTCCATTTTTTCCTGGTGTTTTTTTTCTTGCTCTTGCCTCAGTTTTGCGATGACTTCTTGCGCGCCGACGTATTTTGTTTCGACTTTCTGCTCGTTTGGGTTCTCCTTTTTTCCGCCTTTTTGTGCTGACGCCTCCCCCGCGCTTCTCTCTCTCTTTCTTCCTTTCTTCTTCTTCTGTGGCGGTGTGTGTGTGTGTGCGCGCGCGCTGGGCTGGCCGCAGAGGAGCGATGCGGCGCGCTTTCAGGCTCCTCCGCCCAACGGCGCCCATCCGCTGCGTGCAGCCGGCAGCCCTGCGACCGACGCGCGTGCTGCGCATCCCCCCGCAATTGGCCCGCCTGATTGTTGCTGGTGGCCTGCTGTTGTTTCAGGCCTTCGTGGTTGCCCACAATCGTGAGGCGGAGAAGCTTCGAGAGGACGCGGCCAGCGGCGGCGACGGCGGCGGCACGGCCGTGATGTCCTCCTCCGAGGCGCTGCATATTCTCGGGCTGGACGCCGGCCTTCGCGTTCCGCTCCAGTCAGAACAGGACCGCGCGGAGGCGACGCGGCGCTTCAAGCACTTGTTTGCCATTGCGAAGCAGAGCGGAAACGTGTACCTGCAGGGGAAGTTTAGCGCGGCCTATAGGATCTGCGTTGACGCGAATTGGGATGCAGACGATGGCGCTTGCGGCGACAGCGGCATTGACGCCGGCGGCGGCGGCGACGACGTCGCAAAGGGTTGAGGTTGGCCCTCTTCTCTGCCTTCCCGTTAGCTCCCCGCGATTCTCCTCTTCGTCTGCCGCCGCGAACGACGGAATTACTCTTTTCCGTTGTTGTTGTTTTTTTCCCTTCTTATTTGTTGGTTTATTACTTTTCTTTTTTCTTTTTGCCTCTTTACGTGTTATTGCACCTGCGGAGGAGTAATGAGTGACGTGGGGCAGGCCATCCTGGAGGCCCTTGCGGCAGCCGCGGACCCGAACCCGGACCTCCGTCACAGGGGCGAGGTGCAGCTGCAGCAGTTGAAGGAGAACCCTGACGTCTTCTTTTCAAGCTGCGCTGAGCTGCTGACAACCGCCGGTGTGCCGACGCGGGGGAGACAGCTCGTTGGATACCTGCTGAAAAATCATCTGTCGCATCCCTCATGCCTACGGAACCCGGCACTGCAGATCGCCGTGATGGAGCGGGCCGTAGTGGACCCGGAGTGCAGCATACGCGCCGTGGCATGCGCCATCATCAGCGCGGCGGTGAGGGAAACGTATTGGCCCGTGGAGCCTGTTGTCAAGTCCCTCACAGGTATTCTTTCCACACAAAGCGGAGAACTGCACGCGGTTCATGGCGCAATGCGTGCGTTGTCACAGATTGTGGATGACGCAGTGCAACTCCTAGACATGCGACAGCTCACGGGCGTGGTTGTGAGTGCCGTGCTCCCGTATCTTAGAACGCAGCTGGCCGGGCGAGAGGGGCTGGAGGTGCAGCTCAAGGCCTTTGACGCAATTTCGGTGGTGATTGAGCAGGCGGGCATTGATTACAGTAGCTTTTCGTACAGCAGTATGCGGCCCCATGTGCTGCAGGTTATTGACGCCTGCTTCGGGAATCTGCAAAATCCGTCCTCCACCCAGCTCTCCACCAAGTGCGTGAAGTGTATTGTGCTCTCGCTCGGCTACCACGAAGCCATCTCGGACGAGTTGTTTCACAAAATAACGAGCCTCATGTCCATGGCGACTGCCTCCTCGGGCGGAACCGACGAGGAGCTTCGCATCGAGGCGACGGAGTTTTGGCGTGGCGTCTTGTGCTTTCCCAGGTTTGCCTCCCTGGTCGAGCCCACGCTGGAGAGCATCATCCCCGTCCTGATTCGCTCCATGGTGTACTCGGAGATGGAGATTAGCATGCTGCAGGCCAGCGCCGAGGACTGGAGCGTCCCCGACAAGCTCGACGACATCAGGCCAAGGCACTACCAGGCACGCGTCAACGAGACGGCCGCCAACGACGTTGACGGTGAAGCCACCGAGGATGAGGACGACGATGGGGAGGTGGAGGAGTGGAATCTGAGGCGCGTGTCGGCCTTGACGCTCGATTCCATCGCGGAGTACTACGGCGAACGGATTATTTTCACGGTGCTGAGCGTGATTGATGGCATGATGCAGCCCAACAACCTCTGGAAGGAGCTGGAGGCCGCCATCTTGGCCCTGGGGGCCATCATGGATGGCTGCTTTGACTCCATGACGCCGTACCTGCCGGACATAAGTGCGCGGCTGCTGCAGTTGCTTGGCGACTCCTCCGTGCACTTCCTTGTGTGGAACATCTCCCTCTGGACGATGACGCAGATTGGAAAGTATATCGTCTCTGTGCCCGATAAACTGCAGAGTTTTATGGCCTGCATTCTGCAGAAGATGCAGAGTCCCTCAAAGCTTGTGCAGGAGGGTGCCACCGCGGCACTGCAGAAGACTGTGCTCCTCTGCAGCGAGGGACAGCTTGACAACGACATCCCGCTCATTATTGACTGCGTGGCAAAGTGTCTGCGCGGGTATCAGCTTAAGAATCGTGTTCTGCTGCTTGAAACCCTGGAAACCGTCTGCGAGACGATGGGAGAGCAAATGCGCATCCGACCGGACTCCGTGGAGCTGCTTATGGAACCCCTTGGCGAGATTTGGGGTGGCACCCCCGACGATAGTCCGCTCCTTTTCTCCTTTTTCAAGTGTATGTCTAGCGTCTGCCGGGCACTCGGGCAGGCTATGCAGCCGGAGTTGGCTAAAAACATCTTTGAACGCTCCTACCGTTTACTTGTCATGCATGTGCAGGCACGCGCCGAGGCGCGACGGACGAATCAAGATCCACCGGAGTACGAGTTCCTTGTGACCGCCGCGGATCTCTTGTCTGGGCTGTTCGATGCCCTTGGCTGTAGTTTGGAGCCGCTTGTCGTTCAATGTCAACCGTCGTTTGTCTCTACTGTGCTAGAGACGGTCCGGGACGAAAATGCGGAGATCCGACAGAGTGGATTTTCACTTCTTGGTGACCTGGCGAGGGTCAGCCCTGCCAGCGTGCAAAGCGTTCTGCGCGAGGTGGTGAAGGCGGCTCTGGAGAACCTGGCGGTGCTGGACGAAAACACATACGGCGTGATCAGCAACGTGGCGTGGTGTATGTGTAACTTACTGGAGAATCAAATGGACATCAACAATTTGCCCACGCTGGACGCCGCAAACGGACTTCCCCAGTTGTTTGCGGCGATCGCCCGCATTCTTGGCACCGTCCCGCACACGACTGAGATGCGCAATATGGCGGAGAACCTGTGCATCTGTCTCGGTCTCATGCTCTACGCCGACCACGCGGTGGAGGCGCAGTCCGGCTGCGACGTCTCTCTCTTCGCGAAGGCGTTCTGCTCGTACATGCGCAACGTGAAGGATGTGCCGCACAAGGAGCAGGCGGTGAGTGGTTTTTTGATCGCCGTGCGCCAGCAGCTGCCGGTCGTTGTCTCGCGCCTGCACCTCTTTTTTGACCTTGCCGTCTCGCTCGCGACGTGCAGCGGCGACGTGAAGCGGGCGATGCACGACCTGCTGGAGGCGGCGCAGGGGCACGCCGGCGCCCGCTGGAGGCAGCAGCTGGCGCAGTACAGCGAGCAGCTCCGGACACGCCTCTACCACGTCTACGGCATCCAGTGAGGGGCACGCGGCGGGCACCGTGGGGGACATCGACTAAATGAAGTGGGCAAAAAAAAAGAATTATAACAAAGAAATATATAACTTGTTCTTTTGTTCAAAATAAGGACGAAGGAAATCCACGCGGAAGAGTGAGGAGAAACACCAACCAGCAGGAAAAAAAAAGGGCAGAAACTATGCGCACGCAGGGAGGCGGTGTAAGAGAGAGAGAAAGAAGGAGAGAGGAGATAAACGTGCGTGTGTGTGTGGCGCTCGAGCAGCAATGATTGTTTTTTTTATTATGTAAGTGGAGGAAAGCAAGGAAACACAGCAGTAACCATGTGGAAGCTGCCGCCGACGCAGGAGGAAGGGAGGAATGGCGGGAACGAAGAGAGTTCCGCAGGAGGACTTAAAACTTGCGCTTCAGGCCGTACTGGATGTGTGCACGCAGGCATGAGATGTTGTCTGTCAGCCGCACTCTCTTTTTTTATTTGTTATTCTTAATGTCTCTTGTCTTGTCTCTCACTCTCTGCCATCGTGGCCGCCGCAAACCCCGCACGTCACCGGCACTGCAGGGAGAGGAAGAGGGGGAGGGAGAGGGGGGGCGCAGCTGCGCCCGCAGTGGTGTGCGGGGAGGGGGGCTACCGTTGGAAATGGCCCGCGACCGCATGGCCGAGTTCGTGGCCCTGATGCCGCACCGTGGGCGGGGGCTGACCGCGCACGACGGCACCAGCCGCAGCAGCAACAACAACAACAAGGACGAGGGGCGTGAGCGAGGCTCCACGCAGCTGCCGGTGAACGATGAGACGCGGCCCATTTTTGCGTCTCTTGCTAGGATACAGATGCAGGTGGAGGCGCTAGAGGCGCTGCACCTGGGGCAGCTGGTGGAGCTGCGCGCGGAGAAGCGGGAGCTTGTGCGGGACGCGGTAGAAAAGCTTCGCTCCGAGTGCCACTTCTCTCGTGAGATGATTTACGTGTACAACTGCACCACGCAGAAGCTGGCGGAGGGAGGCCACGACAATCCTCGCCCGCTAAACATGGCGGAGCTGCGTATGCGTCACAACATTGCCATGTTCATGGAATGCCGGCTGATGTCGCAGGTGCGTGCGGTGTGGGCGGCGCAGAGGGCGCAGGAGGAGCGTCTGATTGACGCCACCGCAAGGCGTGTCAAGGCACGTTTTGGTACGACAGATGCTGCCGGCGGTGAGGTTTACAACCGGGGCGAGATGGGTGCTGAGCACGCCAGAGAGGTTGCACGACGGCTTGTCGCAACTGGTAATGAGGAGCGGTTGTTTTTCCTGGCGCGGGATGAGCTGGAGCGAGTGATGCACACGCGGGACGCCGTACTAGAGCTAGAGCGGGAGATGCACGGTCTCCTGCAACTCTTCAGTGATCTGCAGCTGCTTGTGCAGGGACAGCATGAGCAGCTTGTACAGCTCCAGCAGAGTGTCGAGAGGAGCTGCCAAAGTATTGCGGCCGGCGCACAGCATATGCAGGCGGCAAAGGCGCACGCGAAGCGCTGTTGCTCTGTGCTCTGATTGTGCTTTGCCGGTGGTGAGGGGAGGGGGGTAAACCATGTCATTTGCAGTGCAGTACAGTGTGGTCCAGTGGCGTGGGCTGGAGGCGCACCTCCGCTTCGGCCACCTCGCGTTTGTATACGCGAGGGAGGAGGAGCTCACAACAGGAAGAAAATAGAGAAAAAAAAAGAGGCACGGGCGGAGGTACAAATGTAGAGGCTGCGTGAATGGAAAAGGCCTTCTTTTTGTTGTGTCGAAGTGCACACGCTGCGGATCAAGTTTTCTCTGATGGGTGGAACTCTTGCGTCTGCCGCTGCCGCACTTCTTTCCCCTGCTCTTTTTTCTCATTTTTTTTGTTTCTCTTATTCTTATCAACCTCCCCTGCCACACATCCAACTCCGCATAAAACGCGTGAATCGGCGCGTGCGTGTAATGCATAGAAGCAATAGCAGAAGTGAAACGTGGAAAACGCAAACATGACGTCAGACATCACATTCCTCACGCGGCAAAATTTTGTCGAGATGTTTCCCGCATTTTTGCGGGACCTGCATGAGGCAGACTACACCGCCGTCGACCTCGAGTTCACCGGCATCGACCGCGAGTCGGCTGCCCACTTTCTCAGGCTGCCGGAGGAGGCTTTCCTGCGCAAGATGGCGGCAGCGCGTCAATTCTGCCCGATGCAGATTGGATTCAGCATGTTCCGCGGCGACACCGAGCAGGCGAGCAGCACCGCTGCGAATGCGCCGTGCGCCGATGCCGCGCCTCAAACCTACCGCGACGTTATGGTCTCCGAGGCAAAGGCCTTTTATCCCACTGGATTGCGGGGGCCGATGCTCAAGGCGATGTTGGAGAGTTGGGCTTCCAAGGGCCATGTGGCGCCCAGTGACGTGGAGCAGCTCAATAAGGCACGGCGCGAGGCGGAGCTTGCGCTCAAGGGCTCTTCAGATTCCGCCCCCGTGTACGAGCAGTTGACCGAGCTCCGCACGCTAAGTGAGATCGATGCCGTCCTTCAAATTGCTGAGCGGTGGAAGGGCTACGCCGAGGCGAAGAGGCGGCACGTGAGGGTGCGGAACTACTCCTGCTATTTGCTGCCAGCCCCGGAGAAGGGCGATGGCGACAGAACAGTGACTCTCTCCTCTGAAACCGTAATGTTCTTGATGAAGAACACCATGGACCTCAACAAGTGGATGTCGGAGAGCCTCTTTTTCGTGTCTTTCGAGGAGTACCTTAAGGTGCAGCTGGCGGTGATGCACGGCGTGGAAGCCGCTGACCACGCACGCGCGGTGGACGAGAGACTGGAGGCCCTAAGACAATGGATAAATGCATTTCCGCTTCCGGAGGCAAAAAACCAGCTTTGGTCAGAGTACAATAGAATACGATCCTTTGCGTGCAATGCTGCCGTGGGGGAGTCGATGGAGGCGAACTTTCCATTCTTAAAGCCACCTCTGTTTGCCGAACTTGGAAATTGCATGGGGCTGCTTGGACTGCGCTTCGTGCGGAAGACGATTACTAAGGTCTCGTCATTCGATGATCTGGATCTGCCAATTGCGAAGGATCCGAACTACTTTGGCACACGTCTGCTGGAGGCCCTGGTGGCGGCGACGCAGGGCCGCAAGATGCCCCTGGTGCTACACAACGGCCTTTCAGATTTGACGTTTCTCTTTAGCGCTATGCGGCAGGTCATACCACAGACGCTGCCCGAGTTTAAACGCTTTGTTCGGGAGATCTTTCCTGTGTTCTACGACACTCGAACGCTGACGTGTGCGCCATCGTTGCAGAAATTCGGCGTGCTAACGGGCGCGCTCAAGAAAACCTACCTGGCGCTTCTAAAGAGGAACGAGCGGGTGCAGATTCACTCCGAACTTTCTTTCGAGGCGGTGACGGAGTGCACGATGAAGGAGCACGATGCCGTGTTTGATGCGTTCATGACAGGATCCCTTTTTCTCTTTGTGCAGGAGGAACTCGCGCGGGTGGGCGCGGACTTTCGAAGGCTGCGCGGCGTGACCCCCATCCACGGCTGCGTCTTCAGCGTGAATTTTTTGGATGACGCCGCCGATTGCATTCTGCATCCCCCCTCCGCTCCCATGTTTTTGATCCAGCACCCCCCCAAGATGAGCCTGAAACTGGAGGGACTGCGGAGCAAACTACTGCATGAGGTGGAGAGCGTTGCATTCCTGATCAACGGGGACCACTGCCTCGTAAAAATTTGTGACGTGGGGTGCGACAGCGCCAAGAGGCAACAAGTTTCCTTCCTCGTCCAGCAGTGGTGTGAAGGCCTCGGGATGGGGTTCACGCCCCTTGATGTGGACTCGCGCGTTCGCGCCCACGGCCTGACTTACCTGAGAGAAAAGGCCTCGTAGCCGGGGACGCTGGGCAGCAGCGTGTGCGCGGGACTCCCATTCTTTTCCACATCCCTTGCCTCCTCCCTCCCCGCAGGGTGCAGCGCCTTTGCACGCGGGGTGCGAGGACGAACCGAACACCCGCAGAAATGCATGCGTGAAGGAATATTATGAACGCGGGAAATGCTGTGCCATCAATGACACCTTTATAGTCCGCTGTCTTCCTGGGGGATCGATATTTTTTTTTTGCTTTCTTTGTGTGCGCGTGTGTGTATGCCTGTTTGGCGGCGTTTGTTTCGCTTGGTTGGGGCGCCGCTCGTCTTTCGACACGGCGCGAGGGTGCTGTGCCAGGGGAGTCGCCCGCGCGGGAGGGGGAGGGAGCGAGGCTGTGTGGTGGCACGGCGAAGGAGCACACGGAAGCAAGAGGAGGCTTGTGGGCGAGACGAAGAAAACCGGGGCTAAACTACCAGGAGTAGGAGAAGGCCGTGTGAGTGCGTTTCTTGTTACTCTGCCCCCGCCGCTTTTTGCATTACGGGTGGCTGTGCATCTTGCCGCTGCTGGCCTGCGATTGGCTTTCCGGCCTTCGTTGTACCGCGTCTCACAGCACTCATCAAGTCCAAGTGGCTCGGTTGGGAACCCCATAATACACACTTAGTGGTGTTGCACTGTAGCGTACGGCACCTGGGCGCAAACGGCGGCAGAAGCGACGATGTCAGCACACACCAAGCAGAATGGCTGCAGCGGCAACCAGTGCACAGCGTACCCCTTTAAGGTGAAGCGCGAGATGTATCGCGAGCAGCGACAGCGTCTGGGCGCCGCGTTGCGTTCAAGCAAAGATGCGACGCATGCCGCCTTCCTCCAGGGTGGATCGGAGGTGCCGGTGAACTCAACGGATGTCAATTACCTTTTTTGGCAGGAAAGTTACTTTGCGTACCTGTTTGGCTGCAGCATTCCCGACAGCTTTGGCGCCGTGCTCGCCGACGGCACGGGCCTCCTCTTCATTCCCCGCTACCCCTTGTCCTACGCCGTTTGGATGGGTGAGCTGCCCACTCCAGACGCCGTGAAGCGCTCCACCGAGGCGGAGGAGGTGTACTACGCAGATGAGATCAACGCCGTGCTCACGTCAAAGGGCGTACAAACCGTTGAGGTGTTGGACGGTGTCAACTCGGACAGCGGTCTCAACGTTCTGACGGCGACACTTCCGGAGGGCTCCAAGCTGAAGGCGTCCCACGGCTGGCTATTCAACACGCTTAGCCAACAACGTTGCCACAAGACAGACCTCGAGGTGGAGCTCCTGCAGTATGTGTGCAAAGTCTCTAGCGAGGCCCATATTCATGTCATGCAGCACTGCAAACCTGGCATGTCGCAGCATCAGCTTGAATCCACTTTTTTGCATCATGTGTATTACCATGGTGGCTGCCGTAAGGTGGCGTATACGTGCATCTGTGGCACCGGCCACCATGGGGCAGTTCTGCACTATCCGAACAATGATGCCCCCATTGAGAATGGAACCATGGCGCTTCTTGACATGGGCGGTCATTACATGGGCTATGCAAGCGATATCACGTGCTCCTTCCCCGTCAATGGCAAGTTTACCGAAGACCAGCGAACGATCTACAATGCCGTGTTGGACGCCCACGACTCCGTACTGCGGCAGCTGAAGCCAGGCGTGAACTGGGTAGATATGCATAAACTGGCTCTGCGTGTAATGTGTGGGCACCTTGTGCGGGCAGGCATTATCTTGGGGGACGTGGATACCCTCATGCAAAAACGTGTCATGGGCCTCTTCCAGCCGCATGGCCTTGGCCACCTCATGGGTCTGGATGTGCACGATGTCGGGGGCTACTTGCAGGGATGCCCGCCGCGGCCTGAGGAGAGTGACTGCTGCAAGCTTCGCACGGCCCGTGTGCTGGAAAAGGGGTTCTGCATCACGGTGGAGCCCGGCTGTTACGTGAACCGCGCTCTCCTCACCGACGCCTTTGAGAACCCGGAGTTCAAGCCGTACCTCAATGAGGCCAAGCTCCGCTCCCTGTGGAACTTTGGCGGCGTGCGCATTGAGAGTGACGTGCTCATCACTGAGGCGGGCGCCGTCAACATGACCCGCGTCCCCCGCACCGTGGAGGAGATTGAAAAGACGATGGCCGGCGCCCCCTTCTCGCGGGAGATTCAGGTGTTTACCCACTGAGGGAAGTCACTGCGCAAAGGATTTTTGTTTTGTTTTGTTTGTTTGTTTGTTTTTGTTTCTTTGGCAAGCGTTAAGGTAATAAAAATCATGCGTTTGTTTCTTTGTTTTAGGAAAACTTAAAAGAAAAAAAAAGAAACGGATTGAAAAGCAACGTGGCTGCGGGCGAGCGGATGCGGCCAGGGTGGAGGGGAGATAACGAGAGGACATATTTGTGCCAATGGGGCGAAGGAGGCGGATCTTTGCAGCGCAAGGGACGACCGCGCATTTTTTTTTAAGCAACTTTTTTCCTTCTTTTCTTGTTGTAGTTCTTCTTCGTAAATCACTTTCTTTGGCTTTTTCACGGTGATAGCGGATTAGTTGTGCACATTCGGGATTCGCGTGCGCGGGCTGTTCAGCTTCCTGCGCGAGCAGTTGCACTTCTTCCTGTTGCTTTCTCTCTCTCACGCACGCACGCACGCACACAAACAAGCAAACCAAGCAGCAAGCACATGCATAATTTCCCTGCTATTTGCCTTGAGTGACAGGTAGTGATGACGAAGGACGCGAAGAAGCTGCGGTGTGCGGGTGTCAAGGGCAAGGCCGCCACGCCTGCAGCCGTGTCATCTTCCCCCACGGGATGCAGGGGCGCGGTGGTTGCTCTGGAGTCCAAGGACGGGTCCGACATTGCAGACATCTTTGCCGCCATGCGCGCGAAGCGGCAGCAGGAGCGTGGCCGCGGCGGCAGCAGTAATGATGGCTCTGTCCAGCGACGCAAGGCTGAGGAGACGGCTGGCCAGTCCGTCAGCGACGGCCTGTACCGCGCACCGGAGAAGACACTCGGGCTGAGTGACTCTGCATTCTTTGATGTGGCATCGCAGCGACAAAAGAAGCGGCGAAAGACGAGCAAAGACCCGACCGCGGTCGAAGTCGCAGAGGATGTGCTGCAGCGTGAGGGGGTGGATCGCATTGTCACTGTGGAAGAGTTGCAAAAAATTACATCGTCGAACCCCAAAGCGGGCACGACCGCCAACTGCCCTTTTGACTGTGATTGTTGTTTCTGAAGCCCCGTCTGGAGCACGCTGGGTGGCTCGATGAATCTCTCGGTTAAGTGGCACACCACACAATGTCCTCCTCAGCTCTTGTCCGCACGCTTCTGCAGGCAAGCAGGGGGAGGGGGCGCTGCCTTAAGTTTTGCTGGGGTATATGCCCCCCCCCCTTATTTTTATCTCTTTGTTGACGGCTTTTCTTTTTTTTTTATATTCCCTCCTTCCCCTCTCTTTCCTTTTTTTTTTCCTCCTCTCTCTGTGGGTGTGGGGTGAAGGAGTCAAGCGGGTACAGGACGGCCGCCGCGGTCGCACATTGCACGGAGGGTGGGAGGGACGGAAGGAATTAAGAGGCGAAGCGAGTTATTTTCTTTCCCTGCGTGTGCGTGTGCGTAGGCCGCGGAAGACGCAAACTCGCACTGCCCTTGTATCTCTCTGGCCTCTCCGCTACACGCGGGGCGCCGCACGCAATGGAGTCCGCGCAGTCTCTCCGCTGTGCACCGACGCGCCGGTCTCTTAAGTTTAATGCGAGCGACAGCGCCAGGCACTTCCTTGCCTTTGACCCCTCCATTAGTAAGCACGATCGCATGATCCTCTACATGGGGTTGTTCGCCTTCATGCAGTACTTTACGGATCCCAAGACCTTGCCAAACTTCGCGCCTGCACGGTATGTGCCTGAGCAGTATGTTGAGCTGCGCGTTTTGACGGACCCGCGCCACCCCGCATACGGACAGCTGGGCCTTTTCGCCAAGAGCACCATCCCCGCCAACACCGTCGTGACACCCTATAGCGGCTATATTGAAATCTTCAGCACCTCTTGTAGCTCGAGAACCTACACGATGGGGTTTGGTTCTCTCGGGGATGACTATGCATTGGACGCCGAGTTTGCCGGCAACTACGGACGCTTTGCGAATGACCCTCGCGGCGTTCTCGGGCTGATGGCGAATCTTACCGCGGAGAGTCGTTTTACGCCACGCGGTGAGGCGTACACGGCTCTTGTTTCCAGACGAGTTATCAACAAGGGCGAGGAGATTTTGATGTCGTACGGCAAGGCGCATAGCCTCACGCCTAGTCCTTGGGTGGGGCTGAAAGGAGAGCTGCTGACCCGCCATCGGGCGGGTGGCATTGTCCCCTTTCCGCAGCTTGCGCGCAGTCAGAGAGCTGGGTTGCGCGAGAAGCCAGCCAGGGCCCCATCGGACATGAGCCTCACTGCTCTTGGCGCACGTGAAGGCCGCGATGGTGTCGTGCAGGAGCAGACGGAGGGGCTACCGAAATTGGGCGGGGAGCCTGGTGCTAGTTCTGCCGTCGCGGATGCGCAGGCGGAGATGGTGCTACTCTGGGAGTGCCCGCAGTGTGGCATGTGGAGCATTGGAAATCCCACGCCCGTGCGCATCCACCACTGCTTCTTTTGCCGTTCCCCTCGACACCAGCGGGCCCGTCTGGTGGCGGTGTGTTGCACCCCCGCATTGTCGCGCGAGGATGTGCTGGCGTCGGTCATGCACGGCGTGGCGTCGGCGCCGTCGGCGCCGTCGTCGCCGCTGGGGGAGCTGCCGCCCGCTGCGCCCTTTCAACCCGCGCCCGAGGAGGTCTGCAGTGCGCCAGGCTCGCGGCTTACCTCCTCTTCTTCCTCCGCCTCCTCCTCCTCCTCGAGGGAAGAGGAGGGGAGTGGTGCCAGACACGACGCGAAAAGCAACGGCGCGGGGGCCTCGAGCGGGGGCGACACGCACTTCCCGCCGGCCGTCCCATTTAGCTCGGAGGCGGTGCGTTGGCCCCTCAACGTCCCGTTCCTCCCCTGGCAGGTGTGGGACGCCGCGATTCCGCTCTCGGCCATCAAAAAACACGCCAGGTTTGAGACACAAGAGAACATCTTTTTGTACGCCGTCACGACCGCCGCCGAGGAGGAGCATCGGCTGACGGGTGAAGGCAAGCGGGCCAGAGACGAGGCGGAGGCAGACGAGCAACAACAGCAGGAGCGTCAGCCACGGAAGCGGGGACGAAAGCCGCGCGTGCGGCGAAAAAAAGAGGAGTTGTGGCAAACAGAGGCACCGCCACCAAACGGTGCGCAGCAGCAACTACAACAAGAAACTGATACGGTGACGGTCTCGGCTTCAACGACGAAATGCTCCGGCGAACATGTGCCTACGGATAGCAGTAGCGCTACGGAATACCTCTTCTACGTTGACAGCGCTGCTTCGTGTGGCGAGAATCTGCCCAGCGGCGACGACGACAACAGCGAGGAGGCCGCTGCTCTGATTGCGTTGCAGTCTCTATTGAAGGGTGTTCTGCGTCGGGTGTTTGCAGGTAAGTCGTACCACTGCGGTGAAGTGGTGGCCTCGGTGGGTGGGATGATCCTGCCCACTGCGGACAGGCGACATCGACCTGACAGCTCCGTACTGGAGATACCGATGAAGTACTTTCTGCCGGCGCCGATTCGTCGCCAGTTGGGCGGCGCGCCAGCACGCGGTACAGGAGAAACACATAATGAGATGCAAGATGAGGAGAAGATGATATTTTCCGATCTCCTTGGCCGTCTTGAGGGTCTTTCGCTGGTTGTAACGAATGAGCTGATGTTCTGCCCTTGCCTTGTGCTGCGAGACGAGGAAGACCCGCATAGGAATCATAGAGGCACGGATGATGTTGGAGACTTGGGGGATGACTTACCGAGGCGCCATCCGCTGCTTGAACGGTGTAACGTCAGCTTTGTACTCACGATGGACAGCCTTGGGTGCCCATACGTCGCGGTGGTCGCCGTGCGGGACATCAGCACCTTTGAGCCACTGCTGGCCTCTATTGGCTGTTGAGAGTAATTGGACCCCTCGCCGGGGCGCCCTTGTTGATCTCCTCGCCCGCTCTCTCTCTCTCTCTCTTTGTGTGGATTATGCACACACGTATATGTTATACGTGCTGCTCACAAGGTGGATTTTTTTGCCTTTTATTTTTGCCTCCCATTGCTTCCCTCTACGTTTCTCTCTTCGTGCGGTTTTCAATTCAATTTGCTTCATATCTCTCCCACTCCTTTTGTCCTCCGCATGTGTCTCCTCGTGTCCTTTTCTTCCTTTGCTGCTGTTGCCGCGTTGACGCCTCGGCGCGGAGAGGAAGCTACATGGCTGCGGAGCCGCC